TAAATAAATAAATAAATAAATATGTTCAGATACAGGTTTGTACCCACAAGACTTGAGTGGGGAGAAAACTTTTGTGTGAAAAAGATTGAGAAGAGTAGCCCCAGCCACGTACACAGCAAGTACATGGCAACCCAGCTTCTTCTGTACTTGTGACCCTGGACATGGTTATGGAACAGCAAAGAACTTACTTCTTCCAGATGACAAAGGTTCAGGCTTCAAATCCCTGATTTGTCATAAAGCTTAGTTTCAACCCATCCGTATGTCACAAGCTGGTTTGCCTTGCAGGTTCATAAGGATAAACTGGGATAAAATTATGTATGCCATCTTGATGTATGGTAATACAATGCAGCTGTGATAAGTAAATATATTTGGGTTGTTTTAAAGTGACTCAGAGGCCCAATAATATTCCATTACAGATTAAAAAATACGCTAAGAAGAGTATAAACAGCTGCCACCAATCAGCAATACTTCAAGTGCAATTCCCCCTCCACCAAAATAAATGCATAAGACCCCTTTCACCTGTATTTCCTTGAATGGACAGGGGGTCATTTGTGACACCACGCAAAGTTTCAATAGTTGAGTGTGTGACATCGTAAGTTGGAAGCACTATGTCAGCTGAGTCCAGAGACCCACACCAAGAAAGAATAGGTAGAGGGCTGGGGGTGTCATTTGCTTTCCGATGTTCAACAGGCCAGTCCGCAACATTAAGGTAAAATTCCACATCAGGGAAATGAACCTAAAAAAACAAACAAACAAGCCTTTATAATCCACACTGTCCTATTGTGCATTATCCTATTTCAATGATTAAGTGGCTTGGCCAGCTACAATCAATGTAAATGTTGTGGGCCACTCCATAGGTAAAAAGGAACTATGATTGCTATTAGGAGTGTAGACTCAAAGTGTGGGAGACAGTGTGCTGTAGTGATTATAGGTTTAGGCCGAAGACTCAGGAGACTGGGCTTCAAATCTTTACTAGACCAAAGTCTCCATTCAGCTCATTGGGTGACCCTGGATCAGAGCTGTGTTCTCACCCTGATCTACCTCAGAAGGTTATTTTGAGGATAAAGATAGGGGGGACTATAAAGGTACCAAATACATAATCAACAGTCAAACAATTTTATGAAACTGATGAAAATCTTTTGTAGAAGTCAAACTTCTTTAAAAGGTTTACAAGATCCCTAATCAAGTATTCATAGTACTGTAAGGTCAAAGTGAACACACACCTAGAGAGCACACAAACCATAATCCCATCTGCTGTGCCTTTCCTTAAAGGCAACATTTGCTCCATGGGAAACTCTCAACACAGTTGGTAACTTCTCTATTGTGTGAAGACAGCGTCCTTTCATGAAGGAGTCTCTCTTCTTCACACTATCATTTCCTATTTATTAAAAAACTTTTTTGTCTCAATTTTGGCTTTATAGTCCATTTAGAAAAAAGAATGATTTCTACAAAGTGGAGGAGAGCATAGCTACAATGCTCTCCATCTCCTTGTGTGTTCAGTTTGGCCCTACTGAACAGGGCAAGGCTGCAAGCTTCCTGTGTACCTCCAATGGTGGAAATCCTGTTATGCAGCTCCACTTGTGCAATGTGAATGATGCCATAACCAGAGGCAGATTGCCACTGATTTAAAACTTCCGTTTTCACTTTCAGAGTTAACATGGCTAACACTGTGGCTTCCTGATTATGACAAACAGTTTGTTTGAAGGTATAGCTCTACATGCTACCACCTTGTATACATTGAGAACGTTTCAGGAAGTTAGAGGCCTTGAAAATATAAGACTTAATTAAAGATTCTTTCATAACTAATAAAAGAGGTTGTCTTTAGCTCCGATCAAAGGATGTTAACAGTACAAATAGATCCCCTGAATGGATTTCTTCATGGGGCATCTGTATTTGCAAATACAATTTAACGAAGTAGATGTAATCCAGTAGCCAGAATCCTACTGCAAGTAGAAAAACTGCAAGTGGGAAATTGTCACTAGTTAACAAGTTACCACTTGTATCTCTTATTGCATCCTAGTTCATGTGTGATAAGAAATACATGCAGCAACTTTTAACTAATGACAATTTGCTGCTTGAATGTATGGCACTTGACTTATGCTGGCATAACTAGCCAATAGGATTGTCGGCGCCAGGCGAATTTCAGTTGGGATAGAATTTTGCCAACTAACATAGCTATGAAAGGTAAATATTTATAAAATGTACCTTCCGTGCTAGTGATAGTAACATTTCATCTGAAAATATTTTGAAGTCTGTGTACTTCCCCAAGGACCGACGGTATATGCGATTACCAAGAACTGTATAATGAATAATGGCTCCCATGTTTTGACCAAATCTTGGAGGCACCTCATTAAACATCCGCTGGAGATCAATACTAGGAAATGCAGCAAAGTCCTCAATAATCCGAGGTTCCTCAGATGGACATGAAAGGCTGTTTTCCCAAATCTGAGCATTGTTCTCTGGACAGTCACAATACTCATGATAAACTGGGCCTGCAAAGGACAACACACTCAAAATATCTGATGTTTGAGACTGAAACCCAAATCTATGAGGCTCTGTTCTATACGTTAGTGTGATCTCTGATTTCTAAGAAATAATTAATTATAGGAGACTTTAAATCTTGTAGAATAGACAGCATGATTATATTATTATTAAATTATATATCCATGACAACACCATTAAAGGAGTATAGCAAGACTGTGAGATTGGCTATGAGATTTATTATCTAATAATTATCTACTAATTTCAACTATTATAAATATTTGATCAAGTTAAGCACGACTCGGTTTAAGAAAGTTATTACATATACTATTGGAAGAAACTTAATTATCATTTTTGCATTCCTACAGTCATCTGTTTGTATTGTTTCAGTTTACTTCAGTTAATTTCTTACTACCAAACCAGGCCTTTAATATACAAAACAAAGCTAAAGCCAAAACAGAAAATACATGTTGAGAAAATAATGAACAAATCATCGCACTGCTAAATAAACACAAATATTAATTAAAATAGTCCACTAAGCATCTTACAATTTGATAAAATATACAGCTGCCTCTTTCTGAAAAACAAATTAGTTTGTCCTGGCCAATATTTTTAAAAGTCACTCATTGTGAGTAATTTTACTGTCTTGTATAGAAGGTTTGTTTACACCAGCACACAGCCCTTTGTGGCATGTTGATGTCAAGGGCACATCCATATCCTTACCATCATCAGCTCCCTCAGCAAAGTGCTGGTGGAGTTTCTTTATTGGACACTTCAGCCAGGTTTAGTCCTTCTCTTTAAATCAATCTTTCTCATCTAAACCTCCATAATATATTTTAAAAATCACCAGTTAGTAAGAATTTTTTCCCCTCTTGGAGAGTGGGAAACAATCAGTTTACCTGTTCTATGATCACACGAAGTTCTAATATATGCATATAGAAAGGTCACTAGTTTGGATGATAACTTCAAGTCTTAAGCCATCACAGCAATCTGCTGAATGGACAACTGTATATGTAGTTTTACTGCTGCTGAATTAATCAAGTGTGAAATGTCCAGCAGGATAAGACTCCCAGAAAATTAGGGTATTAAAATGAATGGTAACTTACCTTTCAGGATATAAGGAGACTGAGCTACATGTGCATCATCATAAAGAATCTCCACCTCTAATCCTTTTTTGACACTCGTGTGCATCCTATACCGCATAAGAAAGGATCCATCATTCCTTGCCAGAAGTTTAGGAACATGGATCTGGATTACTTCTTTCGGGGAGACTGGTTTGATTGTTATTTTAAATTGCCCTACACAATAAATACAAAAGAGAAATAACTGTAGGCAATTATTGCTGCTTAGTTTCATTGGTATTCAGCTGCATGATGACTAGTAATAGATATATCTTCCATGAAATGGTCTTATCCCCTTGAATGACATCTAATCCAGTGCCAATCACTACATCCTGTGACAATGGATTACATTAATTAACAATGTATACTTTCTTTTGACTCTACTAGCAATCAACTTCACAATAGATGTGTCAGAAAATCGTTATGCGAGGCACCACTGTAGATGTGTCAAAACTTTTATAATTACACAAAATTATCACAGTTCATTCTGATAAGACATGAACTGTGGTAATTTGACTAAATTTGACTCTATCATGCATTGGCTTAAACTTTTTCAGCCAGAGGGTCAACAGCAAAGCTGTTGGGGGGGGCAAAGTACCTAAAAATTCACCACTCCCCAAAACCAGACAGCATCCCAAAACAAAGAAAATCCAAAAGAGTTTCACAAATGTATGCACTTTTACTCAGAAAAAAAGCAGACCTGAATTCTGCAGATCTACCATGTCTTTTATGACTCTGAACAGTGTGTGATTCAAATATCACTTTCAATATTTTTCTGGAACAGCAAATAAACGTATTTGTTGTCTCTGAACATTAGACACATTCCCACTCTTCCTGACTAGGAGTATAATATAATATAATCAGAACTATATGCATTATTTGGTTCCATTCAAGAACAGAAAAACCACAGAATGCATTACTGGGTATAAAATTAACAGCTTGTGCCTGAACTATACAGGAATCACTGTGAGGGTTCAGCTTCAGGCTCCGTTTTTCGTTCAAATAAATCAGGAAATTTTTGTAATTCAGAAACAGGTGTGATGTTTATTGTTGTGTTCAATAAAATTATTCCAATGTTTTTCTCCTTCTGACAGCAGGTCAGCCAGGAATGGGTTCCCTTCAATTTGTTGTCCAGGAATGGGTTCCCTTCGCCCGAGTTCCATGGACCTGGCCAACCTATAAATTCAGGTTCACCGCCTGTCCCCTTTCACCTTCCAGCAGGGGCACGGTGTCACATCATTCTGTAGTTTACTGCTTGGGTGGCCTTGCAATAAAGATGCAAGTTCCATCTGCAAGTATGTTGGGGCTGTTTTGCTTTGTTTGCTCCCCTCCCTTTGATGATGTGTCATTGCCTCTAGAGCTGGCAGACTATTAGCTTGCTTGTTATTTTCAGTTTTCATAACTTCGATCTGAAAGAGAATGAAAGGTATTGCTCCTATTTTGCTCTTGGCCAGTCACCTCCTTCTTTTCAATCATTTTTTACTCCTGCTTTCCTTATTTGCAGCTGCTCATATGCCACTCCTTATGTCTTTTTATTTATCTTAGTCCATACCTCCCATTCATATAAATGTTTTTATATTTGAGAAGGGCAGTAAAGAAGGGATCCCTCTCCTGTGGCTTCTGGACATGAAAATTAAATCATTTCTTGACAAGGAGTGTGTATAGAGCTGCCAAAAATTGTCCAATTGTGCCAATTCCTCTTCTAGTTCACAGATGCCAATGTTTAGCTCCACAGCACCAAATGCAGAACCAGTGCTGAATGTCAGGTTGAACTGGGAACAGGTTCAAACCACCCAATCAGCTGTGAAGCTCATCTGGCAACTTTTGAATTTTTTATTTCTCTTAGAGAAAATTTATCTTATGCAATAGTTGTGAGAGCCAAACTGTGGGAGAATATGAAAATGGAGGAAAAATATAGATATAATATTTAACTTCTTAAAGGAGTTTGTTTTATCTATTTGGCACAGGCTTCCCTATTCAAACTGGCCCACCAAACCTAATCCCCCACTCAAGAGATTTGAAAATGGGGACATGGTTCCCACTTCACCAGCTTGAAAGACTTTGGTTGGTGAGGTGGGGATACACTCTAAAGGTTCCATGGACACCAAATTGGAAAACTCAATTTTTGCACTATAACTCGAAGAATTACCAGGAAGCAGGACTCTGGAGCCAGGATTCTGGGAGCTGTAGTAAAAAAAAAATTCTACCTCAGCTCTGCTTTCACCTTATCACTTTGGACCGGCATATATACACAGCTGAATGAGCTGACAGAAAGAACTGTATCACTTCAGTCTGCAGGAAGTGGGGGACACCATGTTTGTGTTTCTGTACGTATTTCACTTTTTAACCTCTAGCAAAGCAAGAAGTCTAACACAAGGGGTATGCAGCTCTGGTAGCTGTGCTTGGCTTGTTTGGTAGGTCCATGGCTACACAGACAATTAAAAATGACCCGAAATGAAACTGGATGTGCCTAGATGCCCATTCCTAGTTTGAAAGATGGTCATTTGGGATGCAACGGTCCCTATAATTGATTTAAAATACTGGTTCTTAACCTCGAGTTACTCAGGAGTTTTGGACTGCAACTCCAAGAAGCCTTCACCACCAGTTGTGCTGACTGGGGTTTCTGGGAGTTGCAGTTCAAAAGCATCCGAGTAACAAAGGTTAAGAACCACTGATTTAAAAGATGGGTTAGCAATCATAGAATCACAGACTTGGAAGAGACCACAGGGGCCATCGAGTCGAATTAGCGCTAGGTTCCCAATAGCTAATTTTCCCCTCAGAATCACTGTTTGGTGATATTAAAATAAAGTTCCCACTTCACCAGCTTCACAGATTTTGGCTGGTGTGGCAGGATGACATCTACCACCTAAGGGGGTTCCTACAGGCAGCAGGCCCTCAAACAGTTGCCTTTGTCGGCATATAAGAGAGAACTTGGATCTGCTGGATATCCTCTTCCAGTTCTGGAAACCTGCTATTTCACATGTTAAGGAATGCAAGGGGCGCCTGTCATCTTCTGTATTTAAAAGGCGGGTTACCACTCCTGGGGGGCTTCCAGAAGCTACAACTGTCGGGAAGGGAGGCTTTTCCCTCTCACAAGACACCTCTTTGAGGGGGAAAGAAGGGGGCCAGGAGTGGCACCTTCCTCACCCTTGTTCTATTCCCGGAAAGGTTCGTTTTCTGTTGCCTCCAGCTGGCGTGCTTTCAAACTGCTGTAGAAGAAAAGCTTTGGTTCAACATGAGGTGGATTCCTCTCAGACGAGGCAGCCCAACTCAGCGCCTCAGGAGCGAGTTTGCGCGAGGTGGCGACGGTGGGGCTTGGACCTCTCCGGGGTCTTGTGTTAAAAGGTCTCCGAGAAGGCCCTGGAGAAACCACCCCAGCAGACGCCAGGCGATGGATGGGGCAAGGCATGCCCGAGGTGGCTTCCGAGGCTGGAAGCGCCCCGTGGCGGCTGGCAAGCGAGCGGGGCGAGCTCCGGGGAAGCAGAGGCCGTCCTTCAAAGGCGGGGCGGGCGCGGATACCTGGCGGCGATCTCGTCACGTTGCGTCCCTCGCCGTCCACCGCCTGGATGTAGAAATACCTGACGGGCAGGGTGAGCTCGGCCCGCAGGCCCGGCCCCCAAACCAGGCTCTTTTCCGCGCTGACTGCGGCCGTCGAGTCAGGAGGCGCCTCCGGGCCGGCAGCTTCCGAGCCATTTAGCCACGGCGCCCAAAAGGCGGCTATTCCCGCCAGCGCCAGCTGCCACAGCAGCGTCGCTTGCATGGTAGCCGCTCCCCCCCCGCTGTTGGTCTCTACCAGCCCGGCCGCGGAGGCGAAGGGGCAAATGCGAATGGAAGCGGCCAGGGTGGGGGGACACCAATCCCTTGCTTCCCCTCATATGAATTTAATAAACTGTTCTCCCTCCTCCTTTGTTTTTGGGGTTGAGGGAACGGGCGAGTGGCTTAATCTGATTGGGAGAAGCGATGGCCAATCATGAAGGACCGCAATACTCTTTCCCCACCCACCCCTCCAATCGCGGCCTAGAATTGAAAACTGAAGTCAATCAATCTGTCGTCTTCCGATAGCTTTAGTGAGGGGGGGGAGGCGGCAATGTTGCCCTGAGGGGAATTGAGTGTCGTTCTGCTTGTCTTGTGAAGCGGGGGAGCTAAAGGCAACGATGACCTTTTATTTCAATGTTCATATTGATGTATTTTCCCCTTTGTCAATTAGATACAGATTCAGGCACACTAAGGATGGCTGCTGAAAACGTTGAAAATAGTTTGTACCACCAAAAGTAAATGGTTGACCCGAGGCAGAATTTGCTCTTGAAAAGGAAAAAATATGTCTTCCCTTCCTTTTCACCGACAGAAATTGCTGGATCTGACGATTGAGTCGTACTTCAGTTAAATCCAGCCCAATACATTTTGCTGCCTTAAGAGGAGGACAGGATGAGACCCCCAATTCTGTGAACAAACCCAACAGTATGCTGGTTGCTGAAATTTACTTCAGTGGTGGGTGGCATTTACTTCAACAGCATCCTACATCACACACAAGGGCAAGTCTAGTTTAAGACATAGAGATGTGACAGAGCTCTTGTACCAAATACCTTTTTATTCAAATATCAGCATCCTAAATTCCTGACTGCCTAAAGCAGCTGTCTTGCCCTTTTCGTCTAATGGCATATCCTGCATATGATAGGGTGTTTTTGGAATCTATATATTAACCTAAGAGGCACAAACAGTATAGAAAGTGGATGAAGATCTGAGGATCTAGAAAACATATGTTCTTCTTTATGTATGCATTATAGCAGATCTGCTATGGCATGATAGTTGCCATTTATAGATATTATTTGATAAAAAAAACTATCCAGGACTGCTACTAACTTGAGTCATCTTGCTAGACAAAGGACAAAATGTGACATGCACTCGATTCCTTTTACAGACGTTGTCTGGTTTGGCCACTAAATTATATTTCAGCACAACACCCCATTAGCCAGCATTCCACGGCTGCCAAGCATAATCATTACTCAATGGAATGTTTTGGATCTACCATTCAAGAGAAAGCTTTTCCCCTAAAGATTGCTGTATGTCTGTAAATCATAAGTTGCCCCAATTGTCCTAATACTGTTGTTTTGACTATACATCTACTTTCTTCACTGGGTGGTTTTAGGTTTGCCTCCCCTTACCCTCCCCCATAGCATCAGTTTTAAAACGTTTTGTAGTACACAAACCTTGAGATTTCTACATGGCTGATACTTCCCTTTTGTCCATGTTGATTATGTAAGAATCCTCACTCAGAGGATGAGTTCACTAAGAGCATGGAAACAGGCCAAAATCCACTGGGTTTTAACAAAAGCTCAAGTGTTTTCCTAATCCAGTGAAATGTTCTCCTATGATTAAATAGCAAGAACCCCTTGACAAGTAACATTTCATATACACAGTGTGTCATCAGTAGTGCCAACACAACATTAAAATGTCTCTATATTTAGAAATAAAATGTTTGTGGGTCATAAAGTGCACACACGAATAAGACACTGTCCTGCAATTTAGACATAAATATGCACAATTTATTTAAAAATAGGATTAGTCAGTATCCATAGCTTATTTTAAATAAAATGTTTCCCTTCCCCTTTGTTTGCACAGAAAACAGATGATCAATTTGCACTACAGGAGCCATAAGGCACAAAATATTTGCATAAATTGAAAAAGGAATACAAAGCTTACACAACTATCTATAGCTTATTCAGAATTACACTTCTCTTCTTTCACCTGCTATTGTATTTTGTAACCCAGAGGCAAATCTGCACCAAAACACACTGTTGAATATATACTGTGTACATAGCATTGTGGCATTCTTCCATACTTTGAACTTAACTTGCAGCTCACTTTGAGGCAGCCTATGGGGTGGTTATTCATGAAGAACTGGTTTGGTGAATGCACCCAAGCAAGCAAATCCAGCATTCCAGATCTACTTGAAAACTCACATAACTAACATTCAGGCACATTTCTCTCTCATTTTGTAGTAGTCAGCAGACCTCTGCAAGTATGGAATATACACAGCAACCTTTTCCTTTTCTTCAATTAGCAGAGTATGCTTGCATCTAGACAGCTGCTGTTTGTGCTTTTGAGCCTTAAGAAATCACAAAACTAATGCTTGCATGGGGACAAATTTAGTAACAAAGGTGATACCTTTTTCTGTCTTTCATGGAACTTTAGCCATTCATTTGTGTAAGAAGTGCAGTGACAGAAAAGAGAAATCAAGGAACACTGGACATCAATTTCTATCAGATATTTCCAGTATTGGAGCTTAAAGTCTTCCAATTTTGGGGCTCCCACAGAAGCCAGTCTACACCCAAGAGGGAAATTAACACATGGACTTCCTTTAAAACAAATTGAATAGACAGGATTTTTGGAAACTGTCCAGAATCCCAAGAGTTTGTTACACTGGCATTAAATGGAATGGCATAAACTCAGCACTCAATTGTCACTAGTTAATAAATTGTCACTGGTATCCCTCAATGTACCAGTTGTGACTTAGTGATGCCAATGCTAAATACTTAATCAAAGAATGAAAGTCTTGTCTTGACTGCAATTACAGTTAGGATTTTTTTTTGTACAGGTTGCATATGTTTAAAACATTTTGGATAGATTTTTTCTATGAACACAGAGACAGAATTTCCTTCAAATTTAATATGAAATGAAGCAAATAATTACAAAATACAAGACAATGCATGTACAAATGCACACATATACTGTACAGTGTAAAGTACAAAGGGAGAAATACAGTTAAAGAACCATGACATGTCCCTGTAAACATTTATTTCATGAAAGAGTTACCAAACGTGTTGGATTTCTCATCACATATACAAATTTTCAACAAACAACTTCACTACACTTCTTTTATACAATGCTTTTTGGGGGGCCAAAATAATTCACAGTTAAACAGCTCTCTCTCTCTCTCTCTCTCTCTCTCTCTCTCTCTCACACACACACACACACACACACACACACACACACACACACAGAGACAGTATACTTTTTTCACCAATGTGCATGACTTTTAATCCCATTGGAATAGTTAAAGTTGCATTGACCAACAGCATAAATATATTACTTATTAGTTATTTCAAGTGTTACGCTAAACAACAAGATAATATTTAAACCAATATTCAACTTTTATGTACACTTCTTTAACGAAGTATTCAGTATAACAGGTTTTAAGTACCATTTTAACATGTTTGATACCTGCTGGTTAAAAAATAAGGCACAGAGCGGTTAATATCCAACAATTTTACGGTAAGTCCTACTGATTTTGATGGCAAATGCTCTCACACCAGTATCAGTGGAATTGAAAACTAATTTTGACCTGCTTGTGTTGTTACGAAATAAGCTATAAAAGAGTGCTTCAGTGCACAATATTCACTGAGTAGATGAGCTGCATGTATTATGTCCTGCAAGTAAATATATTAAATATTTGCTTCCTTAATTACAACAAAACATATTAGTATAGCATAGTAAATATACATATGTATATCCAGTCTACATACATTAACCCCCATTTCCTCCTGATTTGGAGCAACACATGCTCCAAATGTGTTTCAAATAAAGAAAATTCAAGACTGACGGACTAAGAGGGAACAAGTATATATAGATTGTAGAAACTTTGCTGAGTGCAAAGCTGCCATTTCTGAAAAATGAAACACTGACCCAGATACCTATATATCCAGAGTGAGATATCTGGTACTGAGTAGGTGGGAAGGTAGGGCCCCCTTGTCTCATTCATGAGCATAAATCCAGCAAATTTTTTTTAAAAAAGAAAAATTCTAATGAGTGATTGCTGGATCTCCATGGTAAGAAGTTTCACAGCTGGTTTCTTGTTATGCAGCTGAAAACAGTGCAGGAGCCATTATGAGGGTGGATAGGTGGGTGGAAAGAGATAATAAACTTATTTGAGAATCTTTAGAACATTTTTTTTCACCATCACAAGGGACTGAATGTGTTTGTTTTAAAGATTCTGTGGAGGCGATCTAATTTTTTGTTGGATTTATGAGGTGATGATGGCAAAGGAGTATTTAGGATTGGAGATCAAATAGGTATTTGTAGGAATCTAGTCAAGATTTTCAATCTCCAAGTTTTATAAACTACCTAGGAACTGGCAACCCAACAATTAAAGTTTTTCTTCGCCTTATCTTGCAGCCCCTCAGAGTTCAGATTCTTTATCATTCCCATCTAGATAGTATTCATCATCTGTAGTGGTATCAGAGTTTGTATCAGAATAATCTGCAGAGTCTTGTCCCTGAGCCTCAGAAGGAACTCTTGGTGACGCACCTTCTGCCGACACTTTTCTTTCAGCAAAACCTGAGCTCAACAGCTCTGGTCTGCTTAAGGAAATACTCTCTTCCCTTCTCAGAGAACGAGGATTGCTTAGAAAATAGGGTCTCCACAACCGACCTTCTGTAAGCGATCTCTTTATGTTGTCTAAGAAAATCTGTTGCTGTTCTTTCCCAAAAATGCCAAATTCAATTGATGGATACATCACCCGCCTGGAACCAAAGGTCCTATTATTATCATCACAGGCATCCCAGTTCTCATTTTCATCACAGGACAAGAGTTCAGAGTGGGATTTAAACTTCCGATTGTACCTACTACCAGGGTTTATCGTGTTGCCTCCAGAGGACAGGCGATTATGGAGAACACTTGAATAGGAATTCTCTGAAAAATGTCGTTCACGTGATGTTTTACTGGGATTTAGGACTGGCTCATCACAAGATAGACTGGGATTTCTTAACCTACTTGAACGCTTTATATTTTGATAGTGGTCAGATTCTGTTGGAGAAATCACCTCCTGAGGTGGACAGACAGTTGCCTTGGAATAATGTGCGGTAAGAATATTAGAACTTTTATCAGATGAAAGTGGGGAAAATACAGGCTCACCAACACTGCGGTCCCTTTCATTCTTCTGATTTAGATCTGAATCTGTAATCCTAGAGAAAGTGAGTGGATTGTTATTTTCTAAACCTTTATCATATGTTTCAGAATGACTACTTAGCTTGGGCATAATTTCTTTAGAAAACAAAATGGTAGAATGTTTGCCTGCAGTTTTTTTATCACTTAGTCTCAGACTAGGGATTTCATGCTTCTGGTTGCATAAATTTGCAAATGGCCTCCTGATTTCATTGGTGATCAATGAAGGGGCTTCATTAGTTACTGATTTTTTATTCTCAGGTTGTTCAAGTGCTGTGTTTTCAAATTCATCAGTTAAAGGGTTCTGACTCTGCTTCTCATTCTCTGTTTGCAAAATCACCTGGGGAGTATCAGATGAAATTAACATGCTGTGACAATTACTGGTTTCTGAAAAGCTGCTATCGTTTTGTGAAACTATGTTACTTATGTGTGGTTTCAGAGTCAAGCTTTTCTTACTGGAAAACTTTCGGCTTGTTTTATAAATGGCTGCAAGTTTGTTTTTAATTGATGGCCTATTTTTTCTTTTTTCTATATCACTAGTTTTGTCTTTAGTGCAATCTGAGCTTTGCTTATTTTCAGATGCTGAATCATCTGATAGACCCTGAGTGGTACTTATGAGTTGATCTTTAGAGTTAGGATTGTGATTATTTGTAGAGTATGTCTCAGATCTTTGTGAAGCTTTGCAAATTTTATGTATTACAGAATTCTGATGCTTCGCCTCTTGTGCAGATTTTCTGTACTCTGAAGCGCTTTTATTAAGCTGAAATTCAGGATGAACTGTAGAAGCTACATCCACCAGTGGAGTTTGCTTCTGGAAATCTGAACACACTTTTGTCTCTGAGGTTAATACTTCTTGTCTGCTACTACTTACACTTTCATTTTTTAGCTGCAACTTATCTGCCTTTCTGGAAATACTGTGATACAGAAAACGCACATTTTCTTTGTTCTTAGCATCTTGTCTAAAGCTATCTTTAGCACAGTCTGTGGTACTGATTTCTGAATCAGCAATGTGCGTTATTTCCTTATTATTATCAACTGAACGTGGAATATGTGAATTGTTGCTTGACACTGGCTCAGATGATGGTGGAAAGAGAAGAGGTCTTCCTTTTTGAGTATTCATTGCAGAAGAAGTTGCAACAAGATTCCCTGGAGTGGTTTTGTTATGTGTGGAATTAGATAGCTTGAGGGTTGAGGATGTGTCAATTTTTGACCCCTTATTCAGTGGTGAAGGACCCTTGTCAACATGTTGATTGCACAGTGTGTTGGTGACAGCACAGAGAGAGTCATCCACAATTTTGCTGGATTTGGAGTCACTCAGAAAACCAAGTGATGCTATCCTGTTGGAAAATGCAAATTCTGATTCTTCTGTTGTGACTGTTTCATCTTTGTTATGTACCATACTTGGTGACAGAATAGTAGGTGCTCTATCTGCGGTGGTGTCTGGAATATGGGTACCTTCCTTAGTAGCATCACTTGACATCTTTGAGTTCTGCTGCATATCAGAAGCAATTGATATTTTGCCAAGAGAATCACATTTTTCTTTTTCTGAACTGGAAGGAAATGCTACAGTTGCTAAATGAACATGAACATATTTCTTTTGAGGGGGTGAAGATTTTTTTGTTGGAGAAGATGACTCAGCATCCATTTTAGTATCATCTAGGAAGAGGTTGCACAAAGTCCTTGAACGTTTCCGTGGTAATGTATAATAAACTGAAATCAACTCTTGATATTTTACATTATCTTCCTCTATGCTAACTGTAAGGGTACTAGTTGTTTTGTATTGCTTTAAAGGATTTCTTATGTACATTTCCTCACACTCAGAAAACTCTGACATTTCAGATTTGTCAGGGTCACACAAGACTTCTTTTTCCAATTTGCTGGCAACTGTACTAGTACCATCTAAAGAATGCTTAGAATCTTGAGTTAACTGCAAATGGCTATCTTTAGTTTGTGGAATTCCATCACAAGTTAAATCTTTGAATGAAGGATTTAAGGAAGAGTGAGCTGGATTTAAGGTGATTTTATCTCTCTTCTTTGAATAAATGTTTTCCATTTTACTTGATCCAAGTGCTTCTAAATAATCTCCTACATGTTTCTCATTTCTGTATGGAGTTTGCCTGGAAGGGTGAAATTGAGAAAGAGATTTCTCAGATAAAACACTGCCATCAATACTGGCTGATTTTCTTGGAAAGGTGTAGTTCTTTGTAGGAGATTTTGGAGGACTGTTACTGGGAGGACCAGAAATACTGTTGCTAGTTCCATGTTTAACAAATCTATTATGCTTGTGGATACTTTCAGCGCAAGAATATGGTAACTCATCATGTGCAAATACTTCAGGGCCTTTGCTGAAAACAGCTGAACAAATATTCCCAGATGCCTTGTTGTGTATAAAAGTTCCTAAGTTTTCTGACTGATGCTTCTCTTGTTGTGAGTTTTGATTCATTGCCCTTGTACTCTTAGCAGTTAAATATGACGGATGCATTTGATCAAGATCACTGTTTATAGAACAATCCCCTTGATTTCTTTGTCCTTCTCTTTTGTGAATATTTGATAAATATATATTGTCAATATTTCTTATTGAAGTCAATTTAGTTGGCTTTCTTGATAGGGCAGCTGAAGATGAATTCAAAGAAGGAGATATATGAGACTCCGCTGGACTGCTGGTATCCCTTTGCCTAGAAACTAGTCTTAATTTCTCTCCTTTAGTAGGTTCACCTTCCATTTTACCTGACTGGATATGGGCAGGATTTCTCACCTCCTCTGAGGCACGTACTTGGAAATATTCGTTGGTTTGAACAGTCTTTGAGGGATTCTGATCAGCTCCAATGAGTAGATTTTTTTGTACAGCCTGTTTTGTTTGGCTTTTTGGAACATAAAGGTCATATGCTGTATGTCTCTGGATGCCATCTGGATGCTTTGAAAACAATCTGTTTTTTAAACCTTCTAGATGATCTACGCCCCATATATGGTCTTGGGAGTCATGATCCCATATCCATGAACCACTTTTTTTCATACAGACATTTGGCCAGTTGCTGAGATTACTTGGAATCATTTCAAAGTCAGTATCAGGGGTAACAAAGACATCATCGCTGTAATACCGGTGGCTGTCAGACCCCAAAAAATGCTCCTCTGTTCTTCCAGAAGGAAAGCTTTTGGGGGACTGGTTCATCCTACCATGAAATGATGGATATCTGTAATAGGACTTTGAACTGTTCCTTTCCATCTGATGTAATAAATAATTATCCTGATTGTCAAAATACAGAGGATCCACATGTTTGTTAGCAAATACGGAATGAGTTCTATTTGGCCCCACTCTTCTGTAATACTCTTTCGATCTGTAAAATTCATACCTTGTGTTCTCCCGTGGAGAACAAGGAAGTGTATCTTCAAATGTCGGCCCGAACTCCATTAATGACTGTGTTCTAAGAAGTCTATCTGCATATGGTGAATTTTCAGAAGACTGTGGTTGATTCCATACAATGGATGATAAGGGAGTCCGCTTAGTGTGTCGGCGATAGTTCCTTTGTGTGAAGCCTCTGTCATTTTCCAAAGGATAATGCAGGGCAGCTGTGGAAAGCTGGTCAACAGACGCCAGGGACTGGCCCCTTGCAAGACATGACAAAGAACAGCTTCTGTTAACTGTTGCGAAGTTCTTGTGTCCAAAGCCGCTGGTGTTTGGTCCGGAATGAAGCTTCAAGCTTCCTTCTGAGGAATGTCCAAGAGAACGAGTAGAATTTTCTCTCCGAAGGGCTGGAGACCTTCTGACATATGTATCCCCAGCTGTGTAGTCTGCTGTATGGTGCCTTTTCATATATGTATCATAAAACACCCTTGGTCTGGACAAAGTTCTGTGGTTATCTCTGGCTCTCAGTGTCCTTGTTCCATCTGACAAAAACATGCTCGGATCATTTCTCTGTACTTCTCTAGGGATACCATGTGGACTAATAGTTGGATAATGACTGAGTTCTGATGCTCTGGAGTCATAGTGAATCGGAGTCCTCCTATTCACCGTTTCTTGAGATTGCTCCCGTGCCAACTGGTCATCCAAACTACCTAGAACTGAAAAGGAGACAAAGACAGAGAGGCAAATACTTATTTTTTATATAAAATCAACATGCTATTTGTACTATCAACTCCTTGTGTAATCCACTCTAAATACCCAAGTAAACGGGACATTCCAAAATATTTAAGGAAAATTGAACTAAGTACCAAGACAAAAGGAATCACAAAGAATCATCATCATTTTGGACAAATGTCATCTTTTAGAATCAGGACCTGCTAGAAACATACTTCTTCTATCAAGTAATATAGCCTGGAAAGAGAAGTTCGGGGTAAAGAGAAGCTAAGTCCAGACTCCTTAGTATTCTAATATGCCCTCTGGGATTACTGTTAAGATTATGTCCCTTTGTCCATGATGTTACTGTTTGATGATTACCTAGTGTTTAAGAGATGTAAGCTAAAAATATGCTGCTGTTTTGATCTCATCCTTTTGCCTTTAGATCAGCCAGACCCTGGAATGTGACACCTGAAAATTTTCTCTGAAATTGAATTTAGCCCTTGGACTGAAAGTGGTTTCCTATCCCATCCTTGCCTTTTTTTGGGGGGGGGTCCAAAGCCACTTTGAACACCCTCTTGATTTTATTGAAGCATTCTGGATCAAGCTGAATTCTTCGGGTTAGAATAAAGATAAAAACTTCTGCCTACCAAGTCGTATTCCTATAGCCACAACATATTCCACCTATTTAACACCACCTATTTAACGCCTCCAATTCAAGGACCAGCCACAACATATTCCACCTATTTAACACCTCGGTTATCCTCCAATTCAAGGACCTTCTGTTTCCCAAGCAGTCCATCTCCCCTCTCAGCTTTCTGACTGTGACCTCCACAGTTTACATGTCTTCATTTACCCATTACCAGCTGGCCTCTTTATCCTCCGTCCTTCAAGAGAAAATTGGACAACCATCTGTCAGATCTGCTTTGATTGGGAGTCCTGCATTGTGCAGGGGTTTGGTATTAATGGCCTTATAGGCCCCTTCAAACTCTATAATGCTATGATTCTTCCAGTTTTTATGTTCTTTAATTTCTCTCATCTGAGCATAATACAATCACACTTCCCTTTTCATTTGCCTCAGTCTGAGATATATGAGGAAGATGGAGGAGAAACAAGGAGAGATCAAGGGTCATTGAAGATAAATGCACAGAAGGGAAAAAGATTTCTCATTCTCTTTTGAGGGATACAGGACTTTAAAATGTAGCAGCATTTTAAGAGCCTATATGCCTTAAAAAGAGACAGCCTGCCTTGCCTACTGGAGTACCAGCTAAAATGTAAGACTTCAAAAGCCTGTCATAATACCCAGAGTTGTGAATTTATTATTTAATACTTATTTATTTAGTAAACATTACAAAATCTCAGGGTGAAGTACAAGAGAAACAATTTAAAAAATAGGAAGTTATTTGACAGATTTTAAAACTATGCAAGTGTTGTTTGCATAACTATGTTGTAAACAGCCCAGAGAGTGCTCTAGAACTATGGGGAAGTATATAAGTCAAAATAGTAATAACACAAACAACAAGCTTTAACTAACATGAGTGTAAGTGAATCACTCCTCTATTTGGGATATAACATATGGTATAGTCATATAACTCATGTAGCACTGTAGTGAAGAGACTGAAATGTGGATTACAACGTTCAGGCCTTGCCTCTGCCATGTAGGTGGCCTTCAGCAAGCTGTTATCTCAACCATCTCAATGCCTTCACCTACAGTATGGGATAATAATACTGACCTACTTACTGAAATCAACATAGACTGAAGGTCTCCCAGAACTCTAAAGCATTGCATTAAGTATTAATTAATCTCAAATACCACAATCTTTTTTCCCTACCACACCTGTGTCATTTTTCAACCCTTTTGTTTCAAGGAGCTTTGCATCTCCGCAGGTCAACAGAAACAAAGCTGCCTCCCCCTCCAACAATGCTGCTATCATTCTGAAAACATTTCTTTTTCTCCTCCTCCTGGGATTTGGACTTCATCAGGACTATATTAAATTGGATACAGCAGCTCTAATCTGTCTGTCTGTCTGTGTCTGTCTGTCTTACATGCTGCCCAATGTTGTAGTGCACACTTTCTGGGCTATTAACAACACATACATATAAACTACAGGTAAAATAATACAAACTATATAAACAAACAAAAAACAATAAAATACATCATTCACTGAATGTGATATAAGTGAACAATTTTAAACCATAGCTGGACTTCAAATGTGACACTTTAATAAAAGGCAGCTTTAAATAATTCAGTTTTAAGTAGCTCCTTCTTAAAAACTAGAAGAGAGGGCATCTTTACTGGTAATTAATTCCAAAGATTGTTGTTCTTTAGTCGTTAATTCGTGTCCAACTCTTCGTGACCCCATGGAAAAAAATCATGGGGGTTTCTTGGCAAAGATACTGGAGTGGTTTGCCAGTTCCAGCTCCAGGTGGATCGCATTTAGTCAGACCTCTCCACTATGACCTGTCTGTCTTGGGTGTCCCTGCACGGCACTGCCCATAGCTTCTCTGAATTACTCAAGCCTCTTTGCCACGACAAGGCAGCAATCCATGAAGGAGATTCCAAAGATGGGGTCCACAATTGAAAATGCCTGGTTTCTGGTGGTAACTTCTTTGACCCTCTTTAAGTGTTGCTAATTTTAACAATAACAATGGGCTCAAGCTACAGGAAGCCAGATTTAGGCTGAATACCTGGAAAAACATCTTAACTGTTAAAGCAGTAAGACAATGGAACCAATGACCTCGGGAGGTGGTGAGCACACCAACACTGGAGGCATTCAAGAGAAAATTAGACAACAAATGTAATCAATGGGTTGAGTAGGTCGAAGACATTCCAGCAGTATCAGGGTCAGAAATCATTTAGGGCTATATAGGTAATAACCAGCATCTTGAATCGAGGCTGTATATAAACTCTCTAAAGAAACATTACTAAGTTTTAATTTTATTTTTAGCCAGACAATTCTGTTTTTAGTGTTGTGACTTACGAACAAGGACAGATCAATAATAGCATTTGTTATAAATTTTGCATTTAAAATAATTTCTAGACTTTAGATGGAAAAAAATCTTAAGTATTAAAAATATATTTAAATCAGATGTGTGTATTATGTGATAAATATCATTTAACCATGTGCTTTGAGAAGAAAATATCCTTCTGGTTCCTTCACCATTTCAAATGAGGAGGGTGGTAACCCAAGAGAGAGTCTTGCTACTGATCGTAGTGTATTTATAAAACTCCTTCCCCAAGGGCAGCTTTCCTACCTTTACTTTGTTACGTTTTTGGTGCTAAAGTCTTATACTTCTCCAGGCTTTCTAATTTTTTTTTTCTTTTTGGCTGCTACAATCATTTTTTTTTCTTTTTGGCTTATACAACAATTGTTGCATGATGTATGTTTTATTACTGTATAAGCCACTGGTTCTTAACCTTGGGTTACTCAGGAGTTTTGGACTGCAACTCCCAGAAGCCTTCACCACCAACTGTGCTGGCTGGGGTTTCTGGGAGTTGCAGTTCAAAAACATCCGAGTAACAAAGGTTAAAAACCACTGGTATAAGCCACTATGAAGGGGTGTTATATAAATCCTTAAAAGCAGGCCTTGGCAACTGTAGATTCCTGATGCTTTAGGACAGCAATTCATATAATGGTTCATCATTGGCTCTACTAGTTTGGGCTAATGAGAGCTAAAGATCAAAAACATCTTGGGGACCACAGCTACCCATCCCTTTCTTACACAAACAGTGATATTTAGCTCTGTAACATAGCATATGAACGAACGAGTTATAACAATGCTCAGAGTAAATGTCTAAAAAAATGTGAGAATCTAGCTGCTTGTCAACAAGCAGTTGTACATTAGCCTTAATTAAGTTAAACATTAAATCTGAGTCCAGTTTTTGAAGACATTTAAACTACCAGGAATGCAGTGAGAACTATTTATAAAGAGTACCTTCACCTTTAGGAATACTATGCATGATCATCAAGGGTTTTTTGAGTTGCTTTTATCCACCTGCACAGCCCAATTTTAGAATTCTAGAAGCCCTAATCAGAAGTTTTTAAAAAAGTAAAATACACATGTGTAGAGAGGAGTACTATAGCCCTGCCCTCTCCCTCTTGAATTTCATGACAATTGGAAAGAAAGCCAACTTTGCTTTCCATGGTCCTGACTCACATGAATAGCCCCCATGGATAGTGGATTCTGTCCTTCTTTGACTTGTTGCCTTCTATGTGTAAAAGGGTCATGGAGATGAAGACAAAATAGGCTTTCTATATACTTTCTAATATGAGTTTTCTATATACTCTCTAATGTCAGAATAGGGCTACAGATGCAGGGATTTGGGGGCATATTTTAAAAGCCATATTCTTTGTCCAATTACTGCATTTTAAAGTTTTAAATTTCAAAGGCTGTTTCACACATGCTCTTCCCACAACAAAAGGAAACCAACGTGATCAAGAGGCTGGGGAAACACCCAAGTCATTTCTAAAATGCCTCTGTTTTGGTTTTAGGTGGTGTAGTAGTCTCCACAGTCATTGGAAGCCACAGAACAATTTAATATCTGAATAAGGTGCACAAACAAAATTTCTGAGCATTACTTGTTTACCACCGTATCCAACGTAAATGAACAATGGTTGCTGTGGACTACAGTTCATCTGTCAGGTCAAACTTGATTCAGATATATCAGCATTTTTTGGTTTACCAGTAAGTCAGAGAAGAAATCAGAGTGTGCAAAGAAGAAATGAACAAACAACAACTTATTCCCTATGGCTTAACCAACATTGATTTTGGGACATCATTTATGGTACGCTTCAGTGGATCACTACTAATAGGTTAAAAATACGTTTATTCAGCCCTGATTTATCTCCATTGTTTAATAGCAAAATAGTCCCAGTTTTGTCTCCTGACCTAAGGATAACTGAACGATCTTTCCTTAAAGAAATCAACATGCCAAGGTCTAAAGGTAAACACTGTAACAATTTTGGAGACTAGACTAGCCCATGTGAGGGGGGAAAGGCACTACCCTGCATATAACACAGTCATTCTTTATTGTGAATTAAGCTAAAAGAGCACAAAAGAAGTATAGTCATTCCACCTCCAGGGTACTAAAGGTACCATTCCTCTTATCCAGATTTTTTTGCCCCACTTTTGTGGAGCAAGAAGATGGACTTACCTCGTAGGAGTTCATTTTCTAGCTGCTCATTCCATGTGCATGTGCTGTCCTCCAACATCTCAGCTTGGTTTGCCTCAAAGCCCATTTTCGCTGGTTCAGAGGGCAAAGGGGAGTCAAGTGTTTCCGTCTAGTGGAAGAAGCATTTCCAGTATAAATTCCAAAGAAAAGGGACAGGAGTCAAGAGCTAATGTTTTATCAACGGTTATGTCTGTCCACTCCTTCTGTGGACTTTGTAACACAGATGACGAAAAATCTAACTTTTATTAAGTCTTATTTTGTATAGAATTCACAACTGAGGACTCAGCAAACTGTTGCAGCGCTGAGTGCATTTGTTCAGGGGCCCAGCTAACCAGTCCTCACCCACCCCCCAAAAACGGCATTTCATTTCGCCTATTCTGTTCTCCTCCAACCCCAAAAATCTGTTAGCACTCTGGAGTCAGAGCATGCATCACTCGGCTAATTTGGTCTTCCACTTCCATTTAGGGTAATTTTAAAGGATATTTGAATACTTGTGAGAACCTTAAGAGTTTCCATGAACCTGCTGATACCTGCCTTTTGTACTTGGTTGACTGTGTAAGATTCATATTTGCAGAATGAGTTAGCTACTAATATATAAGATTAATGTGCCCTAATTTAATGCAGCATTTATCTAGATTAAATTTGGAAGCATACTTTATATTTATACACCAAAGATATAGATATATATACAGTGGTGCCTCGCTTGACGACGTTAATCCGTTCCAGCAAAATCGCTGTAGAGCGAAATCGGCGTCAAGTGAAATAAAAAAGCCCATTGAAATGCACTGAAAACTGTTCAATGCGTTCCAATGGGCGAAATACCTGCTCCTCCAGCAAAGATCCTCCATAGGGCAGTCATTTTCTGCTCCCTGTATAGCGAAAAATCCGTCCTAAAAACAGTGGGGAGCCATTTTGCACAGCAGGCAGCCATTTTGGAAACCCGACGATCAGCTGTTTTGATTGTTGTAAAGCGAAAAATCGGTTCCTGAAGCAGAGAACCGATTATTGTAAAGCATTTTTTCCCCATTAGAACATTGTTTTTCGATCACAAAAACAATCACAAAAACATATCGTCAAGCGGATTCGTCGTTTAATGAGGCAATAGTTAAGCGAGGTACCACTGTATAGAGAGAGAAAGAGTTCTTTTTGACCTGTTAATACAGCTGTGAACAAAAATCATCCATGTAACTGGTGTATAATCCCTTATGCCGCTACCCCTATTTATCTATTAAATATATATCTTGCCTTTCTGGCAACAAGTGGCAAAAAGGGAATACTTATATGTATTCCCTTCTTTCTCTTATTAAGTCTTATTTTGTATAGTGTTTGCGGCTGACAGAGAAAGAACGGGAAAATCAGCTCTATGGTTCCTCCCTGGCTAGAATTGGTCTCGAATAGAGGATGCATCCCAATATCATTGCACACTTTTTCCGGCTCTGTTCCCTGTCACACTTTAACCCCTGGGGACACTTTGGTAAATCACTGTGTTAACTTTAACAATAGAACACTGAACCAATTATGTTGATGATTTCCAAGGATTGTCCTGGGATTCATCTGCAGCTGAAAGAAATCTCAAGAAGAAAAGTGTTATAAAAAACCATTTCCAACTAGAAGAGGAGTAGCTTTCCTTCTCAAATCACAAGCCCAAGCTAAAAAGAATTACAGTAATCACAACATTCTAGTGGTGCTGGGCTCTCTTATTTTCTGTCTTATCTTCCATTTGTGACATAGCATTGCATGATGTGACGATGACAGTCACTGGCATAAAAACACAAAACCTTAAATACGGAGATGCAAGGATCGGCCATCTTTCGAGAAGCATCTCCTCCAAACCTCAGTGAAAATTCACACCATTACCTCTCCACCGCACATCTGTGCATTTCAGTGACAACAGGTGAGGTGAAGTGGATGGGAAGGGAACCTGACGTTAGGACCTGGGTTATATTTGTTTGTCTGTTTCATTTATTTTTGCCTTTCTCTTGAATCCAAACGATTACCAGAGAAGGTCACACAAAAAGGTAAGTCCAATAATGGAACCACCAATTTGGCATTTGACAACAAACAGACAATAAAAAGAACAATGAAACCAACTGCAAAAAACAGAGTTGAGCATGGTTCAGGGTTATTTGTTCAAACAGCACATTACAAATAAAATAAAGAAAAGTTAAGGAGAGTAACATGGCCATCAAACAGACTAGTTCTCTAGTATTAGGCAGGGGGAGAAACTTGAGACAGGATTGGCATTTAAGCCTTAAAAAGAGCAGTGCTGCACAACAAGGCAACCAAATCTCTAGGCTGCACCTGCTGAGAGAAAGTGGCGCGTGGTCGAACAATTCCAAATGAGACGCGATGGAAGTGATTCCATGGGAGCCTCAAGACTTTCAAGAGGGGATGAGGTGGGGATCAGCAAATTTTTATTTCCAAGAAATCGCCACAGTTGATGCTGCCAGTTGAGCAGGGCAGCTGTGTAAACAGGATTTTCAACCAAGAAGAGCATTGGTTGCTGTAGGTTTTTCTGGCTGTTTGGCCGTGTTCTGAAGGTTTTTCTTCCTAACATTTCACCAGTCTCTGTGGCCAGCATCTTCAGAGGACAGGAGTTAGAACTGTCGAAATGTTTGGCCGTATTCCGAAGGTTTTTCTTCCTAACAACCATGAAAAACCTACAAGCCTTCAAGAATACAAGAGCATTATCATTCAAAATAAAAGGAACAATAAAATAGAGTGCTAAGGGTTGCGCGGAGTTCTTGGATCCATTTTCCATGATTCCCTTCTCTCTAAAAGAAACTACAGTCTATTTATCTAAATTTCTTCCAAGACTAGGTCTCCCACACATCCACAACTGCTGTAGGGCCCCTTAGCTATTGGAGTGCTTTTAAAAATCATCTTGCGTACTATGTACATTCCAAAAGGCAAGTGAGGATGAGTGTTAAACTCTGCTAGGGTGGATGGGGCATAAAACTGTTCGGTGACTCACCTTTGCCATCTCTTCTGGTTTGGATGACATATGGGCACCTGCAGCAAAGCGATCATATCTGTCAAGAAATTAAACATTGCTTGAATGCTTGCTCTGAACAAAAAAAAATCAGCATCTGGCTATTTTGCCCTAGTAAAAGAGAAGCTTTCTGGTAAGACACAATGATCAAGACTCAGGAGGCAAAAATAATTCAGTTGCAATCCTGTGCACATCTCCCTGGAGTTAGTTTCATGGCATATTATGGAGAATCACACTACACATGGCTTCTCCCTTCCCTCCTATGTAAACTGGGCAGTGGTGAAAAAAGCTGAAGTTCACTTCAGTTTATGGATATTCTCAAAGGGGTGAGTACCTTGTGGCTCTTTAGGAGTTTTGGACTTCAGTTATTAGCCCTAGATAAGAATGAGAGATGATATAAGTTGCAATCCAACAGAATTCGGAGAACACGTTTCCAAACTGTGCACCAAAACTAACACAGAGAAACCTCAATACAGTGGTGCCTCGCTTAACGGGCGCCCTGTTTAACAATGAAATTAAATAGCAATTAACTTTTTGCGATCGCTTTTGCGATCGCTTTGTGATGGTCTGAATGGGGTTTTTTTGCTTTGCGATGATCGGTACCCTGTTTCGCTTACCGATCATCGCAAAGCGATGATTTTTTAACAGCTGATCGGCGGTTCCAAAATGGCCACCAGGTAAAAAAAATGGCCACCCGCTGAGTTTAGGGATAGATTCCTCGCTTACTGAGCAGCAAAAATGGCTGCCGTATGGAGGATTTTCACTTAAAGGTGAGTCTGAAGCCCATAGGAACGCATTGAAGGGGTTTCAATGCATTCCTATGAGCTTTTTAATATCGCATAGTGACGAAATCGCTTTGCAGCGATTTTTGCTGCACCGATTATCATCGCTATGCGAGGCACCACTGTACTTCTCCTACTGGGCATAAACTTACCTCCTCACTGTAAATATAAAATAAACCACATTTTATCACAGTGGATCCTGGATAACGCTGGAATATTAATTAAACCAATATGAACTACAATTAATTTACACTGACTTTGTGCACAAGATATTATTATCACTAAAACAATAAATTCTGCTGAATTAATACAAATTCAATCATGATGTACATGTTCGAAACGCACACGTGTCTGCTGAAGATGCTGTAGATGTAATCACCATAATCTATCCACATATATGTCAATTCCAGCAACCATTCCATCTAGAAATACATGTGGCTCCAAAGTCCAAATGCAAAAAAAGTAAAATGATGATAATAATAATTTTAAAACTGCAGGTTAGAAGGTCATCAAGTCCAGCCCCTGTCAAGGAGGCACAGTGGGGAATCAAACTCCCAACCCCTGTCCCCACAGTCAGATATCTAAACCACTGAACTATCCAGCTCAGTAGTTCAATAGCTCAAAAGGCTTCCCCCAACTCTTTGTCCCAAGGCTCCCAAAGACTTCTTAGGGGCAAAAGAAACCCCTAGAGAGACACAGAACCTAAAAAGAAGGGAATAAACTTTTAATTACATTAAATGCTTCCAGCAGCTGATACAGGTTGTCCTGATGCAAAGTTACAAACAGGATTTTGCCCAATGACTACTGAGATATTTTGCTTCACAGGCTGAAAATTCGTATTCCTATTTAGTTTGCTGCTGATGCTTCAATAATTTAATACTAATATAAGGAGTCTTTTTGCACTATGTAATATCATATGATATGTTTAAATCAAAGTGTGCAGAAATTACCTTCTTGGACAACCACTCACAGAAGCTGCTAAAAGTACAGCCTATGGCGAAGTTGCTAGAAAGATTTTGGACACACAAATTCTAAAAATGCATACCTTTCCCACTTTACCCTTTGTTGCTTTCTTTCTTTCTCTTTCTTTCTTGCATTGAGCAGGGGGTTGGACTCGATGGCCTTATAGTTCCCTCCCAACTTCATGTTTCTATGATTCTAACCTCTGGTTTCAACTCGATGTGCAAAATACAGCCTATCAAATGTCAGATGGCAACTCCTCTAACCCCTAGTCATCCTACCCCATGGTAAGCAATGCTAGAAGATGCAGGCCAACAACACCTGGAGGAGCTGCACTTTTGATCTAGATGTGTACAGTGGTGCCTCGCATAACAATTTCCAGCAAAGGCCATCGTTATGCAAATTCATCATTGAGCGAGGCACTCGTTAAGCGAGGCACCACTGTATATGTTTAACAAAAGGGCCCCTGAGACTCTTGTTCAATGACCAGAATGTTAACTGGATACATGCTGTCGTGCCTTCTTACATATGGTTCTGTCTGCTGATTATCATACCACCCTTACTATACTGATCTTGTCTGATTTTGAAAGCTAAGCAGGGTCAGGGCTTGGTATGGGAGACCATCAAGAAATACCAGAGATCTCCAGATAGGGCTAGGGAAGCAACATGTCCGAATCCTTAGAGTCTCTGCCAGTCAGAGTTGACAACGCTGGGCTAAATGGATCAATGATCTGATTCAGACGCTGGGCTAAATGGATCAATGATCTGATGCAGTATATCAGTGGTCCCCAATCTTGGACCTCCAGATGTTCTTGGACTTCAACTCCCAGAAATCCTGGCCAGCAGAGGGGGTGCTGAAGGCTTCAGGGAGTTGTAGTCCAAGAACATCTGGAGGCCCAAAGTTGGGGACCACTGCAGTATACAGTAGCTTCCTCTGTACCTAAACTCCGTTGATACCCTTAGTTTGTGTGGAAAATGGAAACAGGATTGTAAATACTAAACTTTAATGTGGATGTAGAACCTCTGGTGCTTTTTATCACGCTTAACCATAGAACAAACCAAATGAAGTCAGTGGAATATAAGTTTGTCATGATGAATAAACCCCATCAATTTCAATTAATTTAACTGAAGGATGGCTAAGCCCGGATCCAAACCAGAAATTCACTCAGCATGAATGTAAGGAGAGACCTGTCGGATTAAGGTATTGGTCCATCTGCTCTGTATTTCTGTTTCCCAGAATGGTCAATCAAATACTTGTAGAAAGTGCCCATCTGCAGGGCTTGACATAAACTGAATAAGTTATCTTTTCAGATTTATAACTCCCCAAATCTCCTAACCAATGTGGTCAGATTCTGGAAGTTGTAGTTTCCAAAGAAATTATTTCTCCACGCTCTGAGATTTGAAGGAATAGTCCTCTTCAAATCTTACCAGCAATGAAGAAAAGTCCACTTCTGTTTCCGCTCATCGTGCTGCTTTTCAGGATAGGAGGAGAAGTATTTTGGGTCTCCGGATGTTAACAACCCACTATGCCCTTGGTCTTTTACCACTGGTCAAACTGCCTTGGGATGATGCCAGAAGAAATTCAACAACATCTGGAGGGCCACAAGTACTCAAGCTCAGCTGTAGGAGTTACTTCATTATTAGTATTTACATATTATCTCAGATGGAATAATTGCTACCCACTTCCAGACTGCAGATTTAAGCTACAAGGCTTATACAGTACCAGCTCATCCAACCCTAGTTAATCCAAGCAGAGTGCGCAGATTGAGACTACAGTATGTCTATTGTAAATTGGATCAAATCAATTTAAACCTAACTACTACACATAATCTGTTTTAGGGTCAGGCTGATAACATCCAATTACTCCTTAAAATGTGTTTGCCTAAATAAAGGATTCCTCTTGGAATTCTTAACCTATTCAGTTTGGGTGGAATGAAGGTATTTTATTAACAGACTGAGCAAATATTTCCTAATTTTCAACCACAAGAATTTTCAACTAGTTCATTTTTTTTCTGGAGCAACCACCTGTTGTCAACTGCTAGGAGCAGCTGATGCTAATAAAATATCTTGACCTAGTGTTGATGCAATTTTGCTGGTTATGTTTCCTGTGTATGTTAATTCACCAGCTCAAAACAATGTTGCTGGACTAACTCAACATTTCCATAACTATCTGGATTTTTTAATTTACCAAAGAATGTAGCTAGGGTTGTCCCCTATTCCCTCTACTGTATTTAGAATCCCTCTACTTCTATCACCATTCCAAGAAGCAGGGAGTTGGAATCAGACTCTATGTTTTCCCTAGTAAGGAATCGTATTAGAAAAGGGGGAAAAATCTTTCTGGGATGACAACAATCAGAGTATCTCAGCCACTGATCATCAAAGGAATCATAGTCTGAAAGGGTGACATTTCTGATCTCCGGAGGTACTCAAGGACACAGAATATCCTGTAGAATCCTGCCTACCATATGTCTGTTAAGGAGGCGATATGCCAGAGGGGTGTGTGTGCGTGCTCCTGTGCCACCTTTAACGAAGCCAGAACACAGACCAGGCTTTCTCTTTGCACAGAATGGTTCACCAATGAGTTTTATCTGACAGCAAACAAAGCGAAATGAAAAGCCATAGCTGAACAGATAAACCGACGAGCCAAGTTTTCAGAAAAGATTGTGAAGCCAGCTAAACGGCGAGTTTCTCCAGTCCAGAGTTGTGACTCCGGTTTTCTGCAGAAGAAACTCTTCCTCAGCCCCAACCCCCCACAAGTTTAAAGGAATTTTGCTTACCACATCGTCGCTCCTTGCCTTTTAACGGTTTGGCCTGTTGAGAACTAGATTCTGCTTCCCTTACGATCTGCTTTCGTTTCGTTGTAGCTTGCAGCACCCATCTTAAAACACTTCTCCTTTACACATGACGCCCTCTCCACGCCCCAGCCCAGTCCCTCTGGTCCTTGGACGTGCTGGCTTGTGTATTCAAGCAAGCTCACTTTATTCTGCTCCAGCAGCAAGTAGAAACTGGCTCGCTGGCATGCTTTGGGTGGCTGAGAGAGCCTTCCCTCCCAGAACGCTTTGTCATTTATTTGTAATGCGCTCCCAGGCAGGGAAGAACAAGTTGAAAGGTACAAGGGCCTAGACTTTCTTCCCCTTCGGTTTTTTGCTGGAATGGAGAGGCAGCTGGAAAGACCAGTACAGGCACCATTCCCTCCCACTGCTCTGTGATATTTTGGGGAGAAGGAGAAATTATTCTTATACGGGTGTTTCTCAGCGTCTACCACCAAAGTCCCCCTTTGATAAACACAACTATGTTG